AAGAGGGAAAGAGAAAAAGGAGCCAGTAGTCATTTTACAGATGGGCAAACTAAGGCCTGGGGAAGGCAATTAGCTTGTTCAAAGTCAAAGAGCAAGTTGGTGACAAGTCTAGAAGCCACTTTGTCACTCCCTAGTCCAGTAAGCCAGTGAGTCATCACAGACCAGTGTGGATGAGGAAGACTGGCTTAATTTTTTTTTATTTTTTTTAAATTAAAATTTTTTTTTTCTTTTTGGCCACGCCACGCAGCACGTGGGCCCTTAGTTCCCCGACCAGGGATTGAACCCGTGCCCCCTGCAGTGGAAGCACAGTTTTAACTACTGGACCATCAGGGAAGTCCCAGAAGACCAGTTTTAGACTAGAGGACAGACTTGGTAGACAAAGGTTTAGGAGTGAGGGCCATATTGGAGAGTGGAGGAGCCTGGACCTGGCAGCTGGGCAGGAACTAGCCTGTGCCACACACACCCTAAGATGCCCGTCCATCCTTGGCCTTCCCTGACTTAGAAACTTGCCAAGGAGGTTGGCCAGAAGGAGGCTGGCCAATTAAGCACAGCTCAACCCACTCAGTGAAATATGATTTACAGCTGGTAACACACAGAAATGCACATTTTTCTACAAGGAACATACACCTTTTTAAAACTTTGGGGATTTTTTTTTTTTGATGCTTGGAATAATAGCTAAACTAGAAAGCAAGAAAAAAATCATGTGTTCTCTAAAATATGCTCTCATTTGATTAAACTGAGTAAAATAAATCCAGTAGACAAGAAAGTCTTATTTTTGTAAAATTATATATGTTTTGGTCATTTGTGCATGGAAAAAAGACAGGAAAGAAATATTTGACAATAATAAGAGCAGGTGGGATTATGGATGATTTTTGTTTTCTTCTTTTTGTTATCTGTTTCCTAAATTTACTAAAAATCTGGTTCTTTACAAACATCAAGCATATCTTTTAAAAAATGAAAAAACAATTATAATTTCAACTACACAAAAGCAACTACATAAGAAAGAAAAAAAGCAATGGAGGAAAACATCTCAGAATGTGGATGTGGTTGAGAAGTAGTAGAATTTTGGGAAATTGTTTCTTTCTTTAATTCTTTAAATTTCCCACAACATTATCAGAGTGAGGTTTTTAAAAATAAAAAAAAAATTGTTCTGTGTATATTTTTGACAAGTAATTTCACATCTAGGGTTTACCTACAAGGACTTAGGTATAGGGCTTCCCTGGTGGCACAGTGGTTAAGAATCTGCCTGCCAATGCAGGGGACATGGGTTCGAGCCCTGGTCCAAGAAGATCCCACACGCCGCGGAGCAACTAAGCCCGTGCGTCACAACTACTGAGCCTGAGCTCTAGAGCCCGCGAGCCCCAACTACTTAGCCTGCGAGCCCCAACTACTTAGCCCACATGCCCCAACTACTTAGCCCACATGCCGCAACTACTGAGCCATAGCCCCCACTCGCTGCAACTAGAGAAAGCCCGCGTGCAGCAACAAAGACCCAATGTAGCCAAAATAAATAAAATAAATAAATTAATAATTTTTTTTTAAAAAAAGGACTTAGGTATAAAACTAGTCATTGCACATGGTATTTGTAATAGTGAAAAACTGCAAACCACCTAAATATCCAACAATAGGGAAATGGTTGGATAGTTATACTTCATCCATAACAACACCATACAGTGGCTAAAAAGCATGAAAGATCTATTCGCACCAACAAGGAAGGTGGTTCACGATAGATTATTAGGTAAAAAAAGCAAGTTGCAGAATATATCAAGTATGATTCCATCAATTAAAAAAAAACCCACTCAAAAAAGATCAGAAAATACTTAGGTAACAGAATGAAAATGTAATTCATCATATACTATACAGAGACAACCATTATCAAATAACATTTTATGGTACAGCCTCCCACACATTTTCCATGCATGTACACACTTTTAGTTTAAAGAAAAAAAAAAAAGGAACAAAAAGAAGATTCTGGTTGGTAGCCAGTTTTCTTTTCTTTCAATACATTTTGACCATTTTCCCATGGCAATATAAATAAACCATTATTATAATTTTTAATAGCTGCATAATATTTCACTGAATGGATATGTCATTATTTAAAATCCCCTACTATTGGCATTTCTGTTGCTTTATTTATTATGAGAAGAAATGCTACTTGGAATGAAAATACAAATATAACTCTCTCTCTCGATACACACACACACACACACACACACACACACACACACACACACATACACATACGCATACATACACACACACATATATATAAAAATCTCCCTAGTTATCTCTGGGGGTCAGATTAAAGAGTTTCAAAAGGTGAGCATGGCTATTATCTTTTATAATCAGCAAAGAAATACATTTGCTTTGAAAAACAATATAGGCAGGAAGAAAGGGAAAGAAAAACAAACAGAAAAAGGAAACAATTGTGAGCTCAGATTGAGGGCTTGCAATACACTCATGCCCTGGTCTTGCACTCACCTGATGCCAAAGACGCAGTGGATGTAATTCCAGATGGCCCTGCGGAGCATGGAGGTATCTACTCCGCTGTGCATGGCAATGGTGTTGTAGGTGAGGCTATAGGCTGCCTGGAACTTCTCATCCAGCAGCTGCCCACCCTCGGGGTAGAGCCGCTGGATCAGTGAATAGCCATGGTCCTCCCAGGTATAATCCTGAGGAACGTGGGAAGGGGTCAGTGAGGAGAATGTTTGGGGCCCAAGGCTAGCTGGAGAGACACCATCCTCTGGAGCACACCTTGGCTCTCCATAATGTGTCTCTCCACCCCAGAGATCTAACCCGCTGCTTGGTCTGGACCTGAGAAGCTGAGGAGGATGCAGCTTGGTGATGACTTCCTCCTTGTGATCAGGATCCCCTGAGCTTAGGGCACAGGTGGGTCCCTTCACATCCAGGGTCTCCCACTTCCCTCGTGGAATCCTGAGGGAGAAAAGGTACCCAAATCTCTTAACTACACAAACCACCCACCCCTGCTTGTTTGTAAAGCAATAGTAAGACCAGTGGGGAGAGCCTACCTGGGCACGGAAGGTGGGGGGCGCCTGAGTCCCCCGCCGGGTGAAGTCCTCGTATCCGAAAGTGGGGTCTTCCACAAAGCACAGCATGTCTGAGTTTGGAGAGGGCTCCAGGATGTCCGCTGAGGACGTCAGAAAGAGGTCATGGTGAGGCCAAGGCACGGAGCACAGTGGCCTCCACTCCTGATTAATCATCATTAGGGGGCTGGGGAATGCAGAGTAGGGGGCCAGAGAAAGCCCCTCACCACAATAAGTGGGACCAGGACTTCGGCAGGAGCCAGGCCTTGGGGAGGAGGTAAATCAGGCCTGTGGTGCCTGGGATGTGGCTGCAGAGGTGCAGTGCATGGAGGTACCTGCTTCCCAGCAGAGATGATGTAAGGAGCGGGCGGCCCCTGAACCTGTACCTGAGGGGACACCTGTGACCCTGTACCTGAGGGGGTCACCAGCAGGCTCTCTGACTTCTCCAGCTCAAAGCGGCTCTCCATCTCCTCCTGGGAGGCCCCCTCATCCCGCAGCAGGCTCTCCTGGAGCTGCCTCATGCGCTCCATCAAAGCTTCCACGTCACGGGCAGCCTCAAAGCCCTGCAGGAGAGACCTGGTGGTGGCCATCTACTCTTCCTCCCTAGGCCCCAGAAACCCCACACGTCTTTCCCATATGCCGGGCCTTCCTGAAGGATCATAAAAGCCCCTCTGTGACAGCCACTGCACTGGACAGCTCACATGGCCTGTGCTTCTCAAAGTGATGTTTAAGAGCTAGAGAATAGACACGGCTTCTCGGAGCATCAACTTCCCTCACAGGAAAGGGCTTTTTAAAGTATCTGTATTTTTAAAATACAAACAAATAAGCCACTTTATAGAATGAGAGGCAGGCAAACTTCGTATTTTTAAAGTTCTAAAAGTCAGTGACTTTAAGCCCACAGGGCTCCATGTGGAGGCCAGTCACATGGTTATTTCATCTCATCCTCACAACCCTTTATGAAGTGCGAGTCTTTATCCTCATTTTCCAAATGAGGAAACTGGGTTTCAAAATCAAATAACTTTTCTAAGGCCTCTCAGTGTGCGATAGGGAAGCAGCTTCAGATAGGGAGGTGCTGTCTTCTACCCAAGGACCAGGGGCCATGCCAGCTTCCTCTCCCACCAAGACTGAAGCCCGTGACTTACCCCAGAGTGGTTCAGTGGGTCCCTGCTGGGGGGTGTGCTCTGCTCACTGGGGGGTGAAGGGGCCTGGGGGGCGGGGCTTCCCTCGGGGTCCCCCTCAGGGAGGATGCCACAGCCGAACACGAAGGAGGCTAGCGAGTGGCAGTGGGTGAGGAGGACCAGGGCCTGGATGAGCTCAGCCAGGGACCAGCTGTGCTCGCCTGTCTTCAGCAAGGCCTGGAGAGAAAAGGAAAGGCCAGATCTGCTCAGTGCCTGCCCTGGGCTGCCTGCCATGCCCCAGCCTGGCCCCCGTGCTCCCTCGCGGACCCGTCTCTCTGCCCACTGCACCTGGATGTGCTCCTTGGTGATGAGCCACGGCCGATGTGCCAGCAGCTTGTTGATCTCGCTGAGCTTGCGCAGCTTCTCAGGGGCACGGTGGAGGCCAAGCAGCCACTCAGGGTCACCGCCAGTCTGCAGAAACTCAGCCATGTGCGAGCCCACCAGGTAGGAACACTGGTGGCGTGCGGCGGCCTAGAGGTGGTGGACAGATCCCAGGTCACCCTCTTCTTTCTGTGCCCTGCTCGGGTGGGTACCCCATGGAGGGAACATCACAAGCCTCACTGTTGCCTGAGAGGCAGGAAACTTAGGTTCTAACCCCAGCTTTGCCACTGGTTTGTTGTCCTCCCTTGGGCAGGTCACCTGACTCCTATGTGCCTCAGTTTCCCAATCTGCAAAGCAGGCATTAAATATGCCTCTCTTCAAAATCTAAAATTCGATGGATGGTCAGATAAAGCCAGGGCTTTGCTTTATGCTGCCTCTCCTCCTTGTTTGCGGAATCAAGCCCCCAGCAAAGAAATCTGAGGACCGAATCCCCCAATGTGTCCACCCCTACAAAAGTCAGGCTCAGACAGGCTCACCATGATGGCAATGTAGTGGCGCCAGGAATTGGCCAAGGGCCCATCCGTGTGCAGCAGCAGGTAGTGCAGGCGCCAAAAGCTGGTAAAGTAGTCGGGGTGCAGGCCCATCACCACTGCCAGGTTGTCCACCCTCCCGGAGGACATCAGCGCCTCCAGCCCCAGGTGTTGCTCAAGGCTCTCGGCTCCCTCCCGAAGGACCTGCCAAACAAAGGTGAGGAAGGGATGGCTTCCCCTCCTGCCCTCCCCACCAAAGAGACCAACATATTCATTGCATTCATTGGGATTTTAATAGCAAGGAACTGAAGACAACCGCCATGCCCAAAAAAAGGAGAACAGGGGAGGAAAAGATATTTCATTAAATGATTAAACAAATACTTATTAGACACTTTATATAATACTAATTGATACTTATATAATGCTCGCTAAGTGCCAAGCACTGTTCAAACACTTTACATATATTAACTCATTTACTGCTCACAACTGTGAAATTAGAGACCTGTTTTCTCCAATTTTAGATAGGAGGCACAGAGATTAAAGTACAGCTTCTCCTGCTTTCGTAGAGATTCTATTCTTTTTTTTTTTTTTTTTTTGGCTCTGCCAAGTGGCTTGCGGGCTCTTAGTTCCCCAACCAGGGACTGAACCCAGGCCCTCGGCAATGAAAGCGCAGGATCCTAACCACTGGACCGCCAGGGAATTCCCCACCGAGCTTCTATTCTAATAGTGCAAATCCATGCAGTCACTGGATGTGGATGCAAAATAGTTCAAATTTCCTGAGTGATTTCTCCGTGCCAGGTCTCAGTTTGGAGCGTTCCCTGCCTGCATTATCTCACTGATTCTTCCCAGTTACCCTGTGAGGTGAATACTATTATTTTCCCCCACTGACACGTGAGGGAATCAAGACCCAGAGAGATTTCATTCTGTGCTCAAGGTTACAGATCTGGTAAATGACAGAACCAGAATTCAATTCCTGATTAACCCCAAAGCCTATTTCTTTCCTTTATTACAGAAGAGGAGTGGTTATTTATGAATGAAAAAATAAAAGATAAGAACAACATTTGGGCTTAAAATTCTGGGCTACATAAATAATCAGCGGGTGGTTGTGTGCTTTCCACTTACAAAGGGTGGAAGGAACTGAAGGGTTTAGACGTTTGTTAACAGCTCATTAACTGCTTGGCCTACACACTTAGGAGAGCAAGGAGGACAAGGAAACATTTGTCTTTGTTCACTGAAGGCCAAAGAAAAAGAAGGAAACTATTATTTTTTAATTTGTCTGTTCATGTGTTTTGAAGCTTCCCCCACCACCAGGCACACACTGGAGTGTCAGTTCCATGATGGCAAGGATTTTTGTCTGTCTTGTTCTCTGCTGTATCCCCAGCACCTAGAACAGTGCCTGACACAATTAATCATTCAATAGATATCTGTTAAATAAATGAATGGATGACCTGACTCAGTAGATGAAAGGTGTCTCTGTTGCATTAAGTGAAAAAATAAAACATAACAACCCAAAAAAACCACACCAAAAACCCAAATCAACAATAACAACAAAACCATGTTATAAACTATGACCTTGGCTCTGTATGAAAAAAGTCTGGAAAACAGTGGCAAATGGTTAACAGTGATTATCTCTGTGGGAGTGGGATTGTAAGAGACTAAAGCTTTCTGAAACATTGGAAATATAAAAATAATGAACATATATTACTTCTGAAGTCGAAAAAAACTTTAATACACACACAGTCAAGGATGAGAAGATAAACATGCATAGTTCTATCTTCTTAAGGAAATACAAGTCTTGTTCTGGGAATCACAAGTTTGCTCATTACCTAGCTGTGTTATTAACACTTTATCTCTTTGAGCATGTTTCTTCCCAGCAAGATGGGGTTGATATGCCTGCCTCAAAGAGCTGTTTTGTGGATTAAATGGGTCAAGAACCTAAAGGGGTAGTTTCAAACCTGCAATTCCAAGAGACAAGCAAAGCCCCCCACACACTCAATGCCCCATGTCCTTTCTTCCCAGGGACCAACAACAATTCCTAACCCCTTCCAAGCTTACCTCCTCCACTGGAATGAAGGCGCTGGGCCCTCGAGGGCCTCGCCGAACCCGGCTCTCCCTCTGCTCCTAGAAGGAAACACATCATGGTTAGATGGAGGTAAAAGCGAGGACTAAGAAGATAGCTCTCTCTCCGGTTTTCTCCTCCTATCCGAGGGGTCACACTAAGTTGTTTTTTTTTTTAGGCTGCACCATGCGAAATCCAGGATCTTAGCTCCTCGACCAGGGATCGAACCTGGGACCCCTGCATTGGGGGCGCAGAGTCTTCACCACTGGACCACCAGAGAAGTCCCCGACACTGAGATTTTAAAATCACCTTTCTGGCTCACCTTGCATGAAGCAGTCAGGTGGAAATATATACCAGTTTGGTGGGTGAAGAAAGGATAAAGCAACCAAGAGAGCTTACCCCACAGGCTGAATTATTCAGGAACTGGGAAGGGACACAGGAGCCCACTATATAGCCCCAAGAGAAATATACAGCCACTGTGTTGCACGTTTGCAGGAGGCCACCTTCTTGGCAGCCCTGGAGAACCTATAGAAGAAGCCCCCTTGTTCGTATCCTGAAGCCAGGTTACCAAGTCCCCTAGATTCCTATGATGCAGCTTCAGCCTCTCAAACCCACAGCCTCACCGATGGTCTCCCTGCCTCCACAGCCCTGCCCTCTCCTATCCATCCTCTACCAAGTTAACAGAATGAATGAATAAATAAAACATCCTCCCCCAACCCCACCTCTGGGACCAGGAGCAGATCTAATGAGTACATGACCCTGGTGGTTTCTAAAGAGGGCAAACTTCCTGTAGCCAGAGTGAACTTTCTCAAGTGCAAATCTCATCACTGGCTTAAAACCCTGCCTCTGCCTCCTGTAGCCTCCCAGACCATTAGTGACTCAGGCCCACCGTGCTCACACTGGTCACACCTTTTGCAGAGCTAACTCTGTCTTCCAGGTTCTAAGAACCTTTCTTCTGATCCTCATCTGTGACCCCCCAATTCCCAACGCTTTTGCTTCCGAAAACGTTGCCTTCTAATTGTCTGAGATAGGTCTCCCTACTACCAGATCACATTCTGTGGAGAACGGAGCCAGGTAATTCACACTAGTCTGTGAATGAAGAAAACAGAGAAAGCAGAGAGGCGTGGAGGGCAGGTAGCAGCTATTCTGACGTGGCTGTATTGGAGCCTCTATGGAAACCACCAGTTTTATTTATCCCTTTGTTTTGCTACCTGGGAGGGGGCTCTCAGCACTGGCCTTAGAAACAGTTTATCCAAACCAGAGTCACACCCTCACTGGACAGAGACGGTGTCCTTCTAACTCTCCCCTCCTCATTCAAATTTAGACTTACTGCTAATCCTCAAGTGTCCAGGGACTAAAGATTATAATTGAACCTTCCTTTTCACATAGCCAAAAACCCCCTGAGGGAGGCAGAGCTCTGGGGCTCTGAAAGACCACAAAGGAAAGAACAAGGGTACAAAAGTCCCAGGCATGAGTACCAATTCTGCTGCCATTAACTTGCTGTGTGACTCTGAGAAAGTAACCTAAACTCTCTGGGCCTTAATCTTTGACAAAGAAGGTAGCTGGGCTGACTGCTTAGGCCCCTTTCAGCCCATACTTCTGGGATCTACCAGGCCAGCCTGGTCCAAGTCCAGCATAGAAACCACCACAGTCCCCAAGCACTCCCGTTTCACCTTCCCTCCTCCCTCACCAAAGAGAAAAAAAACCTAACAGCTCTGTCTGGGAGATAAGGATTGCTGACTCCACAAACTGGGCCTCCCCCTCAGGGGACCTAAGGACAGACAGAAAACCACAGCCAGGTGTGGTGGGGAAGGGCAGGAAGGAACTGGGGGAGTTGGGGGGGTGGGACAGGGAGGGCCCACCAGGGTACTAGGAGGGACAGCGAACAGCTTTGGGAATCCCTTCCCACTCTAAAATCTGCCCCAGGAGCTGTCAAGGGAAGAAACTGATGCCTGTGGGTCTTTAAATGATAGGTCTGGATCTACCAACATTATCAGCCCTGATGAAGATGATGATGATGACGATAGAATACTGTTAAAAGATAGGGGCTCTTGACACAAACTGCCTGGGCTCAAATGACAACTCCACCACCTATTATCTGCTAGCTATGTGAGCCTCAGTTTCCTCACCAAATTACGGGGTAATAGTACCTACTGTCACTGGGTAGTCATGAGGATGTAATGAGGTACTGGCTGTATAGGCCTTAGCTCAGTACATCTGTCACAGCAAGCACTTAACAAGTCAGAGATCATTAACCTCATTGTTATTTCAAACAAGGGCCTCTCAACCCAAGCTGCACATTTAGAATCCCTTTGAGAAGCTTTTTAAAAAATACCAATGCCAAGGCCCAGCAATTCTAATTTAATTGGGTGGGGCCCAGCATAATTTGCCAGGGAGGGAGGGCCATTGTTTCACACCATTTATTGATCACTTTCTCAATTATAAGGCACTGTGTTAAGTGCTTTCCAAGTGGAACTAGAATTAATCTCTTCACTCAACAAATATTTTTGATGACTACATTGCAGGTAGCAAGAGTACAGGAGTGAAAAGACAAAATCTTAGCTTTCCCAGAATTTACGATCTAAAGGAGAAAGACAATCAAACAAATGATGAATAGGATTTCAAATCATAGATTATACAGATGGGTGGGGGAGTGTGTGCAATATTTCAGTCCTAGTAGACAGGGAAAGCCACTGAGGAGACAACCTTTAAGTTGATATCTAAATATCAAATATCTAAATGAGTTGATGGGCCTGTAAAGGGCCTATAAAGATCTAGGGAACCAGCATTCCAGTTAGATGTAACAGAAAGTGCAAAGCCCTGAAGGCAAGATCAAGTAGATTCTAATCCAGAGCTCCAGTACGCTGAATGCTTCCCCAACCTAGACACCCAAAACTTGAGAGGAAGCAGACAGGACAGGGGCCCACCACCAAGAGATGACACCTCCAAATCGGCCCTCCCCTACTTCCTGGGGTAGGAAGGCAATAATAATAACGGTGGGTAACAACGCTGATTACCATTGGCGAAGCATTTATTTCATGTGCACTTTAAGGGAGTTCTACTACCAGAGCTCCCATTTTACAGATGGGGAATAAGGTTCAGAGAGGTCAAGTCACTTCCGGTCACTCAGCCAGGAAGGAGGTAGCAGAGTTAGGATACAAATCAGGTTTCCTCAACTGCAGAAACTTCCTATTCTCTAAACTTCTCAAGGTCTCAGAAGCCCCAAGGCTTTGCCTCTGAGGTTCACCAGGAATGAGAAGCTCCTTCTCCGTCTACATTCCCAGGGGATCCACTGCCCCAATCACAGCCCTTGTCATCCTGCCTTGTTTCTTACCTTGAGAGCACACACTGGATCTAGTTCTCTGTTGTTATCCCAGAGTTTAGCACAGTGAGTCCAATAAAACTTTCTGCTATGATGAAATATTCTCTATCTGCGCTGTCCAATAAATATGGTAGCCCCTAGCCACAGTGGCTGAGCATTTGAAGTATGACTAGTGCAACTAAAAAACTGAATTTTTAATTTTAAAAAATCTGATTTATCTACATTTCAATAGCCACATGTGGCTAAGGGCTACCCTATAGGACAGTGCAGGTTCAGCACACCTGATAAAGGCAAGATCCCCGCCCTGACTATGCGGATAAAGAAAGGAAAACCAGAGGGGGCGGGTGAACTACCCAAGGCAACACAGCTAGGATGGGGCAGAGGGAAAACCAATGAGTTCCAACTGAGGGGACCACACAGGGCAGCAGGAACACTGAGGTCAGACAGCCATCTGGGTGGCCACTCAACTGAGAGGGCTTCAGGCAAGTTGTAAAGAGAGGATAATCACCTCAGAGCTCAGTGCCTGGCTCTCGATTTAAGCACTCACTAAAAGTTACCTTTCATATCAGCTTCCATATTACCTTTCACTAGCACACTGGTTGCATCTAATCTTCATCAGTTTGGGGGTAGGGGTGGGGGTCTCTTCTGCACACAAGGAAAGATTAAGGTTCCAAAGGTTAAGCACCAGCTGACAAGAGGCCAACCTGAGATTTGAATTCAGCTCAGTCTGGCTTGCAAGGGTTCTGTCCACCACCAAGATCAGCCTCTTGGAGTAGTCCCAGCCTTTATTCCCGGTATCCTATCCAGAGACTGCAACCTCCAGGACTCAGCTACAGAGACCTTTGAAGTCACTCTGCCAGCTGGGAAGGGGCAGAGACTCCCCTCCCCGTGGGCTGCTGAACTCAAGATACTTGCCTGGGTTTACACCTGAGAGGGAGACAGAGCCCAAGCAACCTCTGATCTCCAGCCTTGCAGGGAGGGGTGTGTGAGTGGTGCATATAAACTCATATGCCCACCATGATCTGGTCGATTTCTCACAACCACCTGGAGGGAAATACGTCTTCTTATCCCTTCGTCAGAGACAGCTCACTGAGGTTCTCCTGGAGCTCAGATCTGACTTCAAAGCTTGCACAGCTCACAAGGGTCAGCTAAGCCAACAAGGGGCAAATAGTTAGGAGCACCTATTAGGTACTAAGAACAGTGCTGGGGATGGGACCTACAGAGTGTTTCTAGTCTAGCAAAGGAGACAGACAAGAAATTCCTGATTACACAACTGTTATACTGTAATTGGGATAATAGCTCCTGCAATGGAGAAGGGGAACAGGAAGCAGGTATGCAGAGGGGAATTATCTGGTGGGGAAGGAAAGCCTTCCCTGAGGCAGTGATGTTTCAGGAAGAGGGCTCTGAGAACATACCACCAGTACTAGAGTGAAGCATCTGAAGGCCTTGACCCGGTGAAAGCATGTGTGGCGAAGTGATGGGAGTTGAGGGGACTGTACATTCCTTGTTCATACTTGTCCAACTTCCCTTGGGCCTTGGGCACCCAGCTCTGTAAGTTCAGCACCCTACTGTCTTCTAAAGATCCTGCTTAAAACAGACATTTCCCCAAGGTCCTCTTTTCTTGAGAGAGAATATGTAGAAAGGGGTCAGACATCACCAGCTTCCCCACACCCCCGCCTGCTGTTGACAGCTGGCTTCCATCTAAAGGCCACACCCTCAGAGCCTTCCCAGTCAACCAGGGGCACACTCTTCTCCCCAGGTCACTTCCCAGACACTGTCCCAAAGAGGGATGGACCAATTCTCACCTCAGGCAGGAGGGGTGGGCTCAGACACCCCCTTGTGAGACACTCTGGGGAAAGGGAAGTATGTGCTGTGGCCACAATCTAAAAATAGCTAGCTTGTTTGATACAGGACGTAGTTGCTATGCTCTAGGCACTGTGCATTGGCCTTTGCATGTATTCTCAGTTAATTCTCCCAACAGTCCTTTGGAAATATGACCAAATCTCCACAGGAGGAAGTTGCTGATGATAGAAGTGATCACTTGGCCAAGGTCACACAGCAAGTAAGTGGGAAGGCTGCCACATGAACCCGTAGCATGCCTGCTCTAGTGCCCAGGTGCTCCAATAAATAAAATTATTTCCATAAAGAAGGAAACAGACAGAATAAGGTAGCTTGGTCAAAGTCACGCAACTGAGAAGTGGCAGGAGCAGCTTTCGTCCCTCCACTTGGGGCTCCTAAACCATGATAGGGAAAGGTGACAAGCTAACAGAAAACCGGGGACCCCCGGAAACCATGCTGCTCAGAGAAGTGCAGCTGTTTTTCCCAGGGTCACAGTTCAGGACTAGCACTTGTCTGACTCCCAACCCCAGTAAGACACTTGTGCCAGGCTCCATGTCTGTAAACTCAAGAAACAAGCAAAACTCTCCGTTGTGTGAAGCACACTTGGAAATCCTAGAGACACCCGAGCCAAAGAATGAGCTATTCTGCTGGGTTAGTGAAGGAAGCCTCTCTATAGCCCCTCCTGGGCCTCAATTTTCTCATCCCGTAAATTGGGGCTACTACTAATGGTATAGCTCATATTTTGCTAGTTTAATCCTGAGGACTCAGCGAAAAGGCAAAGCCGGAGCCTGGCATCCAGTAGGTGCGCAATAAATAAGATGGCCATTGTCCGTGGCGGTGGTAATGGGGGAGGGGGTGTCAGATTGGGTCCAGCCGTATTCCCAGCCTCACTGCAAAGAGAGGCCCTCCAAAACAAACTTCTGGGACGTCAGACCACTTAGTAGGGCACAGCCAAATCGGCGCTTGGCTTCTGGTGTCGCGGCCAGGGTTTTCCCCCTCTCCCCTGGGCTTTGGCCGCGGCGTACCCGGCAGCCCGCCAAGGCCCCGAAGCGCCCACGCCCCCAATCCAAATCGGGGGTGCAGGTGGGGGCGGGGGACGAGGTCGACCTCCGTTGGCCAGCCCCAAGTGCTCCAATCCCCGAGCGGGGGCACTGCAGCGGGTACATATCCTACCTAGAAACAGTTCCTCTAGCCCCAGCCTAGAGGAAAGGATCTGCGGAAGGGGGCGGGGAGGAGGAGTGGTCGGGCCGCTGCTCCGGGATTTGCCTGGACTTGAAGACTCCCTCGACTAGGGCCCAAACCCAAGATAACGTCGAGAAGGCTCCCCTCTCGTTGGCCAGGAGTCCAAGGGAGCCTTGGAGGGCTCTACAGCCCCGGGGGTAGGGGGAGGAGGCGGAGGGAGCCGAGGCTGCCAGTTGATGCAACCCCACTCCGGCTTGCGCGCTCCACTCCCCCTCCCCGAGCCGGGTGGGGGTTGGCTCACAGACTCAGCTCGCGACAGCCCGAAGCTCGGACGCGGCTCTGGGTTCAAGGGAAGAGTGGCGTCGCTCGACCGCTGCTTACCTCTCCGGCCCCGGGTAGGTAGCCCTTCAGCTCGGCGCGGCACTCGGAGTCCGCAACGATCATGGTGTGCGCCAGGACCCAGCCGCGGCTCGCCGACCGCCCGTGCACCCGAGGGGCTTTCGGACCGACGCGCGCAGGAAGCCGGGACTGCGGGCCGCTGGGGAGGTTCTAGAGCCCCGGGGTATCTCTCGGGGTTCCAGAAGGCTCCGAAAGCCCAGGATCTGGGAACGGCCGCCGCTGCGCTGGACTCCCCGTTCGTCTGGCTTCTGGATGGTGAATGGCCTCGGGAGCCTGGGATTGGCCGCGGCTCAGGGGTTTTCACGGCCCGGAGCGCCTCGGAAGTCCGCAGTGGTCAGGGCTGCTCGCAAACCCAGCGCTCCTCAGCATCCCCACCGCGGAACTGCCAGCGCTCTCCGGGCTCTGACACCGGCAGCTCCGCTCTGCCCGCCGCGGTCCCTGGGGAAGGGCGGGGACACAAAAGCCCCGCGCCGCAGCCAATCAGGTGCTTGTTTCCTGGGGAGGCGGGGCGACACCTCCCTCGGGAGCCTACGGCTCAGCCAATCGGCACCGGGAAGCGCCCCGGGAACTCTGGGAGCTGTAGTCCTCCCCGGACGAATGCTGCAAACTTTTGCAAGAGGGTTTAGTCAGATTGTTGGCAATACCAGATGAGAGTGACATTCCGGAGAGTCATTAAAGCTGCATGACGAAACGGGACTTCACCAGGCTGGGCCAGAGAGCCGGGTGTGAAATCCCTCTCAAGTATGTTCTTCAGCTTTTCAGTTCCTGGAGGGACTGGTTCGAGTTAGGAGAGGTAGTGCTAATTACAGAGCTGACCGCCAGATCTTTGGAGATAAGAGCACATAGCCCGGTTCCTCTGGCCTCCGGGAAGGCTCCATCTTAAAATGTACCAGACACAGGGAATCCAGCTTATTTGTGGAGTCTGGAAAAGCCTTCATTCATTGAAATGTCCATGGCAATCTCTGGTCTAACCTCAGTCCCTATTGCTGCAGTTTCCCCTCTTCTGCTCCCTTGGGGCCTCCCACCCTGTCTTCCATCCCCCTCTTCTAAAAACTTTGTGACAAGGTATTCTACTGTTTTTTTTTCCTCACCTCTCTCTGGCCACTCCTTCTCTGACTCCTCTTTCTCCTCCCCACTCCTGGAACGTGGGTGTTCCCCTAGTTACTGTTTTCATCTTTCCTCTCTCCAGGCACACTCTCCCTCCCCGATCTCATCCATTTCCTGGCCTTCAACTCTCCATTTGGAAGTAAGTCGCTTCTACCAGCACCTCAGCACCTCAAAGCTGAATTCGTCTTCTCTTCCCTTCCCACAGCCTCTTCGCAGTTTTTCTTCAGGGCTCCACTTTTTGTTTCAGTTTTAAAGTTACTGTTTACTTGGGACAGAGAATCCCGACAGTAGCAAAAGTGGACTGGATGGGGCTTCCCTGGTGGCGCAGTGGTTAAGAATTTGCCTGCCAATGCAGGGGACACGGGTTCGATCCCTGGTCCGGGAAGGTCCCACATGCCATGGAGCGGCTGGACCCGTGAGCCATGGCCGCTGGGCCTGTGCGTCTGGAGCCTGTGCTCCGCAACAGGAGAGACCACAGCACTGAGAGGCCCGAGTACCGCAGGGAAAAAAAAAAAAAA